CAGTCTGAGGGTCGGGGTCGTAAGGCGGATTTGAAATATTCGTTTTCACTGCCCGTGTCTGGGGCTTTGGCCGGTGATCTGGAAAGAGGTTCTGTGCAGATGCTCAGCGACATTGCCACATGTATGGTGACAGCAAATGCATTTCCCGGGTCAGATTGTTGGCACGTCCTTCCTGCGTCAGATGAGGTACGTCTTTTGTGTGAGGTGGGTTTCATCGTGCAAAAGGCCCCGGAGCCTGGTAACGGTGACAATCCTGAGGGATCCTATCAGCTGGGCCAGGCCGGTTTAGAAGCTTTGCGGATGTATGCGTCGTTCTCTGACTTCGAGCCGGTTGCCCGTCTGACTCACGATGCCCTGCAGTTGCCAGAGCCCAGCGCACATGAGCTTTTGCAGCTCATGGAAGACCAGGGTTGGGTTTGGCAGCGTTTCCCTTCCAAGCGGAAGCGGGATGCCCAAGCTGAAGCACTTGCGTATGACATCGGCACTGGTGCCAAAATCTTTCACACGTCAACCCTATCAGTTGCTCCTTCTTACTTGACATGTCTTTTGAGTGCTGAGGAGTTGAAAGCGAAGTATGGCATTCAGCGCATCCCGCATGGCCATAAGACAGCTTGTTACATCGGACTGCTAGAGGGAAAGCTGCCGAGTGAAGCCCCAGCCCGAGCCCCAGCACCTCGCTTGGCCTTAGAATGCGACTTGTCTGATTTTCAAGAGCCCAATCCTGCGATCGCCGCGGAGGCTGCCGAGGCCAATGTCAGTATGGCAGACCTGGCAGACGACGACGACGACGCGGCTCAACTTGACACTTCGTCTGCGGACAGGGGATGTGAGGATCAGGATGAGGAGGCCGAGGAGGCTTCGGAATGTGGCACGGAAGAACTAGAACAGGAGCTGTTGCGGCTGGTGGAGGAAGCCTCGGTTCTGGAGCCTTCCGGCAATCGAGCTGATCTTACCAGTGTCGGGGGCGGGAGGCCTGGCAGCAGCACTGATGCACCACCTCCACCGCCACCACCTCGTCACAACACAGAGCGTGCTCTCGAAGCTGTGCGACAAGGAGAATCGTTTGATTGGGACTCTTTTCGCTTCGGAGCTTTCAAGTTTACAGCTAAGAAGCCCAAACAGCAGGCCCAATACTCGTGGCAAGTCAAATGTCCGTTTCACCGCAAGAGTGACAAAACGGACTGTAAAAAAACCATGAATATCACTCCCTTGACCCAGCAGCGGTATGACCAAGTCATCTTGTGCCTCAAACACTGGTGCAACGAAGCCAGGCGTTTTGATCGGCAGCGGCACCACGTGAATTTCACAGTCTTGCCAGCCGCGTGCCCTTCGGAAGCTTTGATTGCGGCAGCCGTTATACCAGCAACTGAGGTGCCCTTCGAGGTTTTGACAGACGAAGCCTTGGATAAAGCTGACGCACAAAGAGCCGCTGCAGCAGCCAAAACAAAAGCCAACCCAAAGCAAAAGTCAAAGGCCAAGGCCACCACCAAGGCCCGGGGCAAGGCCAAAGCAGCGGCAAGCGGCAAAGGGAAGGCAAAGGCGAAGCCCGGCAGCCCACACGATGAGGCGGCATCGGATCCAGATACAAGCGATTCGGGAGCTGAGACGTCCAGCTCATCTTCATCCAATTCGTCTAGTAGCTCTTCCGACAGCAGCTCGTAGACTTCTTCTGCGAGTTAGGTCAGGGTCCAGGGCCGTGCAGTTACACAGGGTCCAGTCAAAGACAGTGCGCAGTCTTCGGCTTGGCAATGATTACTGTTTGGAACTTGCCATCGCTTGTGCCAGATTGGAGTTGTGGCCGTTGGAGGGCTCCTCTCAACTCGCAGGCACGCATGATGGGCCCCCATGAGTTGGACGGAACGGCGCTCAGAGCATGAAGCGAAGCAGTAGCTTGCGTGAAAAGCGGGCAAACACTTGCAGTTTTCAGCCGGCCGTTGCATTCTGAGTTTGTTGCGCTTGCCCTTGATTGTGGAGTGGAAAGGCTTGCCGCCGATCGGGCTGTAGCGTAGACATGGGTTGTTCCTTGCAAGTTCGGTGCCGGATGGAACACGCGATGCGAGTTTGGAGCCCGGTCTAGCCGGTCGGGTGTAGTGTGGACAGTGTGGACGTTTTTTGTTCCTCTACCCTGTTGGGGCTCCCAGGCTGAATGGTGATTCGCAGAGAGTCCAGTGCCACTTCGGTTGGGCAGGTTGGGAGCTCAGTCGGGATGTAGTGTAGACGTGTTTGTCCGGTCGGTGCCAGGCGGAATGGTCTTTGACGGTTGCGGAACATCGAGTGCCACTGAGGTTGGGAGCTCGGTTGCAGTGTCGTGTTGTTCCTTCTAACTTCTGGCCACCTGGTGCCAGGTGGAACGGTGCTTCACGGAGCGCCCAGTGCCACTTCGAGCTCGGTCGGTTCGTAGTGTCAGCGTGGCGTGGACGTGTTGTTCCTGGAGCGATGCCAGGCTGCGTGCGGAACAGAGCCACTTGGGTCCGGGGCTCGGTCGGGATTCGGGTGTAGTGTCACAGTGTAGACCTGGTGTTCCGTTTGTGGGTGCCAGGCAGAAGGGTGCTTCATGGTCACAGAACATCCTGCTCGGTTGGGAGCTCAGTCGGGATGCAATGTCGTGAAGATCTGTTGTTCCTTCTGCGTGTGCCAGGCGGAATGGTGCTTCGCAGTCACGTCCCAGCTCGACTTGGGTTGGGAGCTGAGTCAGGATGTGCTGTAGACGTGTTCCTTCTGCGGGTGCCAGGCCGAATGGCGCATGCCTTGCGGACACGGAACATGCAGTGCCTTTTGGGTTGGGAGTCGGGAGCTCAGTCGGGATGTAGTGTAGACATGCTGTTCCTTGTGCGGGTGCCAGGCAGAATGGTGCTTCACGGACACGGGACCCAGCTCCTCTTGGGACTTGGGTTGGGAGCTCAGTCGGTGTCAGTCGGGATGTAGTATGTAGTGTAGACGTGTTGTTCATTGCGCGGGTGCCAGGCCGACTGGTGCTTCACTTCACGGACATGGAGCAAGCAGTGCCACTTTTGGGGTTGGGCGCTAAGTCGGGATGTAGTGTGGAGTGTGGACGTGTTCTTCCGTCTGCGGGTGCCAGGCGGGAGGGTGCTTCACGGACACGGAGTATCCAGTGCCACTTCGGTTGTGAGCTCAGTCGTGATGTAGTGCAGACGTGTTGTTGCTTTTGTGGGTTCTCTCGCCAGCTCGGTGCTGCTCGCTCGCTGTCCTGCAGCTTTGTCCAGCTTTTTTGCTTGTATCGGCCGTAGCTGCAGCATCCTTGGGACCATGATTAAGGGCTTCTTGCTGCAGCCGACATCCACGAAGGAGTCCACGAAGCCCAAGGAGTCCAAGCCCAAGGAGTCCAAGGACAGCTCTGCCGCTGCCGACTCCAAGGCGAGGCTGAAGGACGGTGCGGATGGCGAGCCGAAGCTCGAGGACCGTGGCAAGAGCAGCTCCGATGGTGCTTTGGAGGACTTGGCCGACTTGGGCCTCCAAAGCTTCAGCTTCGACCAGGACACCGATATCTCGCTCGGCTACGAGAATGGCAAGCTTGTCATCCGTGCAAAGCCGTCTGAGATTTCCTGAGCACTGGAGTCGCTGGAGCATCCGCGCAAGGCCATCTTCCGGGCATGTGATTTTGAACATTTCGGAAATTTTGGATTCAGTGGAGCATTCGTGCCAGGCGCAAGGCCGTCTTTCGGGCACACGATTTTGGGTCAACGGACCGAGAGCGGCGTCAGAATCATAGTCTGTGCCAAAAGTGATGGCCGAGCTGTATGGCTGTGTCCGAGTTGCGTTAGGTCCGTTTCCACTTGAGTCTCTGCTGCTGCTGGTGGGGTTGAGGATAGGGACGCAGGTTGAGGATGTGGATGGGTGGCAGGTCCGGGCGAGGGAAAAGCATCGTGAGCATCAGGTTATGTCATCCGGCATCGCAAGCAGGATGCATTTTCCACAGGTTGAAACTGAGCCGGTCTGAAACTGCAAGAAATCACCGCAACATGTCGAATCTCTCCCGAATCATGCTTTACCTCCAAATTTCGGCTGGTTTGTGTTAAGATCAACACAGATTCGTTGCAATAGCCTCCATTTCCTCTCTGAACAGAGAAAATCCATTGCGTGAGTCCAAGACAAGCATGAATTAGGTCATGAGTGCCTTGCGCAGCCCATGCATGAGGGTTGCAGTGTGTTGCAGTGCAAGTTTTGTGGTACATGTCAGGCCACAGTGGCCATGTCAGCTCGGTCGTGGATTTCTGTGCTTGCTTTGTGAGAACAGGTTTGCAGGTGGGCTTGCGCGACACTTGCGCGACACTTGCGCGACACTTGCGCGACACTTGCGCGACACTCGCGCGACACTCGCGCGACACTTGCGCGACACTTGCGCGACACTTGCGCGACACTTGCGCGACACTTGCGCGACAGGCGGGCCAGGATCTTGTAATGTTTGTACCATGGATGCACTCTGGTAGGGTCATCGGGATTCCCATGGCTGCAAGTTGGCACTTGAAGTTGTTGGCAAGCTGTTGGGAGTCAGTTGGGAGTCGTTGAAGAGCTTTTCGAAGCGATTCTTTGGCAACTCCTGGGTTCTTGAGCGTTTTGTAGCGATTTGTAGGCTTTATGTAGTGTCTTCATTGTTTCTGAACAGAATTCTAGCGGCCATGGCCGGTTTTTCCTGTTTCTTCTTCAATTGTGTTGCAAGCAGCTTGTTCGTAGTGTGTTTCTAGCGTTCCTGAAGTAACTCAAGTCGTCCAAGCAAATGCTGCAGGATTAATTGCATCGGGCCAGCGTGCATGTGGATTAGGTTCTCTCCTGCACAAGCCAAGTTTGACTGTGACAATCATGGTGTCCTGGCGAAGTCGCATAAGCACGAGCTGTGTTGCGTGTTCAAGTTCTGCTGGAGTTTTGCAGGTTCGAACTTCATGCTTGCATGTGCTGCGCACAGATCGCAACACTGTCACATCAAGGTTGTCAGTTCAAGTCTTGTGGAGTCGTGGAGAACCAGCCTTGCAAACACATAGGCCATGAAGCGGCGCATCTCTGAGTCTGCAATGTCTGCAGATGGTGCTGACTTGGGCCCTGGCCCAGAGTCAGAGAAGCCTTGTGTTCAGGTGCCGGTGCCGGTGTGTGGTGCCGGCCCAGAACAGCTAGAGGACTCTGAGCGGAGCCCATCCTCATCGTTATCCGATGGAACCAGTAGATTTGAGCCTGGTCCCAGATCCTTCCTAGAGCTGTACCAGTGGCCAGAGCGGCTCCTGCTGACATTAGCCCGTGGAGAGGCTGCAGATGACTTGTTTCAGCAACTGGGGAAGTGCAGAGCGATACTTCTGACAACTTCTTTTTCTGGTGTGGGCTCTGCTGAGGTTGCTGCTAGCATTCTCGCTCAGCATGTCGAGAGCAGTGGTTTATGGAAACCTGGTTCCATGTCCGTGTATTCTGCTTGCGAGATTGATTCCAGGTGCCAGCAAGTTCTCATGAGCCATGTGGGAACCTGTGAGCCACGACATCTTTTCAAAGATATCATGGAGGTCTTGCCTTTTGAGGTGGAGAAGCAGATGTCTGAGTTTTTGGAGAGGCTGCGCCGAGAGAGCCGATCTCAGAATTTTGATGTACGTGCTTTGCGAGATGAGGCTGTGCAAAATCTGTCCGAGAGATTTCACAGATACATCGAGCGCCTCCTGCCGGGAGTCGCCATGCACGGGCATGGCTTTTGCATGAAACATATGCGTTCATGCGCTCTGGCGCCCAACAAAGAAGAGCGTGAGGGCAAGCTTTGGGTGGAGGTGGCAGGAAGCCCGTGTGTTGCATTTGTGCAAGGAGTTTACGGAAACCAGGAGAATTTCCTACACGACACGGCCAAGACGTTGGTTGCATGGGTCGCGAAGGTTCGTGCATTTCTTCCAGATGTGGCTATTCATGAATGTGTGCCTGGATTCCCCGCCGAGGTCCTGTCCCGATACTTGAATGCAGGGTTTCCTGAAAGCAAGCCGTTATATGAAGTGGCTTCTGTTGCCTGGGATGTCCTTCACGAGGGCATTCCAATACACCGGGCACGCCGGTACACCGTCTGTGTGCTGGCCAAGCATGGTCGGCCAAGCCTCCATCTGGAGGAAGTTTGGGACAGACTTGTTTTCCGGAACCGGCTTATCGGTTGTGATGTGTTCCTGCGAGCACCAGCAGCAGACATTGACGCTCTCAACCAGGACATGGCATCGAGGAGGCAGCTTCCTGCGAAGCGCATCAATTCCAGGGGTCAGGCTCGCAACTGGGCCTGGGAAGTGTTCCTGACGGCAAACCAAAGAACTGTGCTTTCGAAAGCTCATGAAGCAGCTCAAGCTTTGGAAATGGATTGGTTGAGAGAGTGCCCCGATGGCATGCCAATTTCCGATGCAGGCCAGCCATATTTCCAATGGCTGGTCAACCTTGCCCAGAGCTCTGCCTATCAGCCCGCAGTTCGACCGATGCATGAGTCCTATATGAATACACTCTTGCGTTCAAGCCGGCTGTTTGTTGATTGCTTTGATCGGCGGCACTCGCGGCCGGTCCACCCATTCGAGGAGTTCCTTATGCAAGGCCATCCTGTGTATCTGCCAGCCGGACACCACATCCTCCAAGCTTGCAACATGGAAAAGGTCCTTCGTTCTGCCCTGTCGAAAGGACTCCCGCTCAAAGATCTGTACAGTATGGCCGGGAACGGGATGCACATAAATGCAGTGGGGGAATTGCTGCTCTTTGTGTTGTCGCTCTATGAGTGGCAACGGTGAGCTGTGATCCAGAGCGCATGGCGACTGCGAGGCTCGGCTTCAGAAGCAAAACGAATGCTGCGTGCTCACTCAATACTGCCATCACGTTGAACAGTTGAACTGAGTCTTGAACTGAGTGACACAGTCGTTCAGAGCTGTTCGGCGTGGCATGGAAAGTAGGACTTGAATCTTGAGTGACCCTCGTGCCTCTCCTGGCCTCGCTCGCTTTGGGGCTTAGGTGCTCTTTGTTCGGTGTGTGTCTCCGTTTGTGCATGCGTCGTGCGGACGGTAGTTCTTGCCTCCTTCGCGATGACATCCATGGAGCTGGAGTTGGACGTCGTTGCGGAGTCCCCGCCCCCCCCCCGGGAGCAGAGCGATGAGGAGGGCGCGGATGGCTCGGAGGCCCCCAACACTTCGAACACGTCCAGGTCGAGTAAGCGGAAACGTGACGGCCTTGAGAGCGTCGACGACAAGAGCGGTGCTGCGAAGGCAGCGGCCAGCTCGAAGAATGCTGCGTTGCTCGGATTGAAGAAGGCGACCAAAGTCAACAACAGGAGGTGCAAAGTGTGCGGCCTTCACTTCCGCCCCGAGGGCATGGGGTCCAAGGCGCCCTATTGCATCAGATGCAAAAGCAAGGTGGATCAGGTGTCCCGCCTTGCGCGCTCCCAAGGCCGCAAAGAATGGTTTTCCGATCTCCGCGGCAACGAGGCCAAGCTTGCCAAAGTCGTGGCGAAGTACCGCGAGCTCGCGGGCGACGACGGCGACGGCCCAGGCGCAGTCAAGAAGCAGAAGGCCGGGCAGACCGGAGATTCTCACTCTCGTAAATGCTATGTTCGATTTGCAAACTTGTGTGGACATCCCAGGTGTTTCAGACATGCCTTGTTAATGTGGAGTGGGTTCTTTCTAGGTTCTAGTCGTGACGTGCTGGTTTGCAATTCCATGGGCGGTTTGGGGGTCGGGACTTTATGCCATCATGCCCAAAGCAACCCTGACAAATTATCAAATTTGACAGGGGAGGGAGGGAGGGAGGAGGGAGGAGGGGCGAGGGAGGAGGGAGGAGGGACGGGGCCCCGTCCCAAAGCCAACTTTGTGGATCCATGACTTGTGGGTCGGGTTGCTCCTGGAGACGGGTTTTCCGAATGTTGAGGTTTTGGGGATGGTGTGGGTGTTCTGGGTGTCGGGCTCCTGCCATTGGTCCGGTTGTTTTTTGGGGGTGGACGTGCGCTGAGCAGAAACACGGCGGGCCGTGGGTGGTCCAAAGCGAGGGCAAGAGGGGACCGACTTGTTATGATTCTGGGCTTCTTTCCGGTTGTGTGGGGCCTTTTTGTTGACGTGCTGCCGGAATTTGTTAGAGCTCAGACTCAGTTTGTTTGATCGTGTGTTGGCTCCGGTGCCAGGTGTCGGCAAAGGCCCTCTTCGAGGTCTTGGACAAGCACCTCGCTGGCTCCCGGGTCTCCTTCGATTCCGAATTGAAGCTCATGCCCGAAGACGCGTTTATCAAGCACGCCACCGAGGTTTTAACCGAAGGAGAAGGCAAGCTGACGCGACCGCAGGCCACCGCGCAGTGGCGGCTTGTCTGTGCATGTCTTTGTATAGGTCTGCCTGTGTGTGCGAGTGTGTGTCTGTGTAAGTGTGTGCGCAAATTTGTCTGGGATCTCGGTGACGGTGTCGGAGTCGGAATCAAAAGGAATTGTGATTGTCATCGTCATTCAAAGTCCATCAGTGGTCAGCTGGTTTTCGTTGTTCGAGTTATTTCTCAATGCCGTTCACTTTGCTGTGCGGCTGTGCGTGCCGTCGCGAGATGCTGAGGCTGCAATGGAAAAGCCTCATCGAGGAGCAACCGGATACCGAGGAGCTGGTTTGGGATCGCAAGGGAAAGGATGGTGCTCTTCGTGTGGGCATCAGTGTGGCCGACATGGTGCGGTTGTCCAACTTCAAGGAAAGATCTAAGGAGTTCACGGAGAAGAAGACGGAGAAGAACTTGGACTCCGTTGCTATCGCGGGGCACAAGAAGTGGCTCACGAGCGGCGATGGTCGCGATGAGGAGGCCGTGGTCACTGCCTCAAAGATTGTCAGGAGTGGGTCGGCTGGCGACTGTTTCTCTGGCCGCGGCTATGACATCGATGTCGGTGCCTTGGATAGCGGGAGTGAGGAGTTGGAGCCGGAGCCGATGGTAAAGAGGGCGGCATCTGAGGGCGATGGTGACGCTGACACTGCCGAAGGTGACAAGAGCTCCACCTCCTCCCCGAAGAAGCCGGATCCGCAGGGCAAGGCCAAGGCCAAGGCAAAGAAGTGGGATCGGGACACAGTGATCGCTGCGAAGATTCGCGCTGAGCAAACTGCGATTCTTCAGATGGAAGTGGCGGTCCAGGGTCGGTTGAAGGATTGCCGGGCAGCGCTCGCCGAGGCAGCTGCGAAGGGATCAGTGTGTGCGGAGGAGACCAAGGTTGAGCAGACCACATTGGAGAAGCGAGTTCGGTTCTTGTCCGCTGTGATGGAAAAGACTGAGGACGAGCTCCAGGCCTTGATCAACCAGTACGATGATGCAGACTCCTCTGCCGAGGCTCCGGGATCAGTGCCCTTGGCATCGGGCCCAGCGCCGGCTGTGCCTACCTCAGCTGCCACCGTGGCGACATCGTGGGCCTCTCAGCTCACGAATGCCCCGCCCTGCGAGAACTTCCGTGCGTTGAAGACTTTGGCTTCCTCCAAGGACACCGTTGACGACCTGTGGCAGGCGACGACGGCAAATGAGCTGAAGGACCTGGCCAAGCATCGCGTCTCAGGCCGCAAGCCCATCACCGAGCTCAACCAGGCGTGCAACACAGGCTTGCGAGAGTTGAAGAAAGCCCTCACCAGCTTCGACCAGAGAGCCAAGACGAAGACCGCCGGTGCCGCTGCCACTGCGAAGGGCAAGAAGACGCCGCCCTCCATCTTCGAAAGCGGCTTGGAGTTCGGCACAGCTGTGCCTGAGGTGCAGGACGTAAAGGCGGTGGATGTGTCGCTCCCTTGCTTGATCAAGCTCACCGAGGAGCAGGTGGCTCTCCTGAGCACTGAAACTTGGCAAGCCTTTGGTGCTGCTATGGTTATTCGTTTGTGGAGTGGAGTTGACCAGTTCTGGGTTAGGGGTTTAGGGTTTAGTGGTTTCGGGTTTAGGGTTGGACATTTTTAGAAATAAAGTTTGAGCGGCCAACAGCTTGAGGGTTCGTTGTCTTGTATTCCCTGAACAAGGATTGCGTGAACGCCAGTGGCGAGCAGTTCTGCGCAGCCTTCGCGACCCATGTGAAGAACCACACGCGAGGTCAGGTCACAAAGCATCCGGATGCCCGGACCAAAGCCCGTGCAGCCTGCAAGGCGCAGCCTGAAGCGGCTGAGGTGTGGACGCAACTCCTGGGGTCCCTCGGCAACCTGGTGATGCCGCTGGATGGGTTTGCTTGCATGCCGTATCATGTGGGTGTGGAGGGCTCATCTGTGACAGCTTCGAACGAGCAAGACTTCCTTGCGAGTGTGCGTGCTGTGACAAAAGGCACCAGGACCATCCTTGCCATGCCGTACAGCTTGGCCGTCGAGGTGTTTGGGTCCAGCTCACCCTCTTCCCTTTGGTCGAAGTTGGTTGCCGCATCCGAGGAGCAGCTGAAAGCACTTTCCACCGGGAAAGGCGCGAAGAAGCTGTACATCGTGACGCATGGCGTCGGCGAGGTGCTCTACATGCCCCAAGGCTGGTTGTTTGCGGAGCGGGTGACGAAGGTGGATTGCCATGCCATGATGTCCCGCGGTGTTGTGCTCCGCAACGCGGAGTCTGCCCTTGCTGAGATTGAGGTGGTGCAGATGCTGCTGACGGGGGCCCAGAACGACAAGGACTGCGAGAACATCAAGAAGATCCGGGTCGTGCTTGAAAACGCCATGCAACAGCGGGAGCATGACCGTGCTGCTGCAGCAGCGGCTGCAGCTGGGGCCGCGGCCAAGGAGGCGGCCCAGGTTCCCGTGGATCAGAAGATGAATCCCGAGGTCGCGACCGTGAAGGAGAATCTAACCGAGATGTGAGCTCAGGTTCTTTTTCGTTTGCCTATGGCCATGTGCTGTAGGTTGTAGGATTGTGAAGTTCGCTCCGAAGCACCGCTGGTGTGAACGGTCGTGGAGTCACACAAACCATGGGAGCCCTCCAACTTAACGAATACTTATACTTCATACTTTCATACTGTTCATACTGCGTAGATCTGCTTAACACAACCTGCAATTCCAATACAGTTTCCATTCACTCGGAGGCTGTGTGTACTCGGTGCGGCTTAGTGAGAACATGCCAGCATTGGTGGCGTTCGGTGGCCAAGTTTTCGTGGTTTGGATTCCAGATTCTTCGGGTTCTAGGGAGCCCGCCGGATTCCGGATTGAGCTCAGGCTCAGGCTACTCGGCTGCCCGGCTAGTTGAGTGCAGAGTGCAGAAACACTTCAGCAGCTGCGATTCAAAACGTGCTGAGGCATGCAACTGTGTGTCGATATATCTGTGAGTCTCGCAGTCCAGCGTGCAAGTTGGTGTGCCATTGTGACATATTGAAAGACTGAGGTGATCGAGACCGTCGTCGAGATCTGGAGTTCTTGGGCAGCGGGTGTCGAAGTGTCACATGCTCACAGGTTTGCGGTTTACATTTGGATGTGTCGCGGATGTGTCGCGCAAGTGTCGCGGAAGTGTCGCGCACTCAGCAGTGGTGGTGGAGTCCAAAAACTTATTACGTGTTTGACTTGTTGCCATCCCATCCCGCTCTTGTGTTCTTGGGGTTTAGGCCTCTGCACCCTTTCGGGATAAGGTTGTAGTGGTAGGTAGATTTAGTCTTGTGTAACCCAGGCCAGGTCAAAGGTGTGTGTCGCAGTTCGCTGAATGCCGTCGTGCCGTGGCCAATCCGCATCCAAGTTGACAGTGCAGCCCGCTGCGTCCAAAAGGTCTGCAGCTTCTTTTGCGTGCCGCTTCCAGAATATACTAGTGTCGCAGCTCGCTGGATATTATAGAACCGGAGTCCAAACTGACGTTGCAGGTCGCCATCCAAAATGAATGGTTTCTTGCTGCATGTTCTGGTGTGGATCGCCGAATGCTGCATCCGAGCATGCACCCGGTCTCCATGCGCTCCATGTCGGCTTGGGGTTCTTGGGTTTTAAACGTGTGTCCCCTTGTTGTAGGGTGTAGTGACTGTAGTGCCGCTTTGTCCCGGTTTTAGGTCTTGGGGTTTAGGCCTGTGCCCACCTTTCGAGTTGTTATAGTTGTTAGTGTCTAGTGCCACTCTGTCCCAGCTTTCGGTTGTTGGGGTTAAGGCCTGTGCCCACCTTCTCGTTTGCGGTGTAGTGTAGGCTTGGGGTTTTTGGGTTTAGACCGATGCTGCAATCCCCTATTTCCACACCGTCTGGCTGTGCTTGCGGATGCTGTCCTTGCATCTCTGTTTTGGGGCCCTGGAGGTTCTCGCTGGTCGCCAGTGCATGGCAAATAGAAGCGGGAGCAGATGTTCCATGTGTAGTTTGTCGTGCTGGCTGCCAAACCGCTTGCATTTCTGCCTTTTCCAATCAAGTAGCAAACCCTTACCGAAGCCAGGGCATTAACTGCCATTTTATCCAGGTGAAATCTTGGTGGATGTGCTGCAGGTTGTCTTTTATATTATGGGTGAGCTGCGCAGGCCATCCCTCTCCGCCTGTTTCGTCCTCTCGGGCCGATTTCTCCGCTGCTATGTTCACTGTAGGCTGGTAGATGAAGTTTGCTCGTCGCAGGGGCCCTCTTGGATCCTGTTGTGCGACAAAGGAAGAAAGATCGCATTGGCTTGTTATTCATTACAGGCTCCGCTTTTCCGCCAACCCGAAACTCGATTTCGCGCCTTTACTTTCATGAGCACTTGTTTTGAACACTCTTGTTTCGGAGTGGTGACGGTCTAATTTTCACATGTTTTGCTAGAAGTTTAGTTGTCGCATTAAACATGAACGTCGGCGTTTTGTGTTTGAAGGCAACATTGCCTGGATTCTGAATCGAATCTGGCGCAATATAGGTTTGAAGTAGGTTTCTCTAGAGCCGATGGCTGGTTCTGCCCCAATTCGGCCCGAAAACCAAGGGAACTACAAAGCGGGAGCAGTTTCATCTAGCCGCACCCCCTGATCTGGGCGATTTGCCTTTTTAGCATACGGACCCCCGGCAACGAGTGAAGCTACTAGATCGAGAGCTTGGCGCCTGTCTGGAGATGCAGAGTCTCCCCCAAGTCGTACTCGAAGCTGCTGTCGTCTCCGGCGACTCGCTTTCGGGAGTCCACGTATATGGTACAACTCATCTTTCTCTTACGACGGAAGAAGCTACGCACTGTCGACGCCTCGGAG